CCTGCCAAAAATGAGAATTTTTTTTTCTTAAAGAAACTTGTGTAGCTTTAGCGTGATCTGAACAAACATGTTCTGGAGATCTTGTGGCTCAGCCTGTTTTAACTAATCAGCCGCAGCAAAAAGCAAAACAGAATAAAACAGAACAAACTTTATGTTTTCCATGAATAAATAAGTGAATACTTTTTTCTGCTAGTGAGAAACAGAATCATGAGCAATTTGTAGCATGATGCTTACTCTTTTTGGGAAGCTGCATTTCTCTGTTCAAGGCTTAAATGTTAACTGGATAATCTCGTCTGGAAATCAGGCCCTTTTGAAATTCTCTTCCCTCAGGTCCCGAGTGAAGCCCAGATGGTTTGTGCAAAGCTTCCCTTTCCTTCTAGTCAGAATCTGGTGATGCTTTGTTGTTGTTTATTATCTGAACAGCAGAGAGAGACCTTGGAAGGCTGCGTATCACAGCGACGCTTTAGTCAAACGAATGCCATAGCCCTGTTTGGTCCTGTTTTATGGGAAGTTTTATGATTATGATTGTAAATTGTTTCACAGCATGTAAAGATGAAAAATCTCTCTATATATAATTTATATTACAAGTGAATATCATAGCCCTGGCCAGACGTTTTGCTGATGCGTGATTTGACTTTACCCACTCGAGGGGAGAATTTGGGTCACAGAATATAAGGGTGTTCGAATTTACTAGCTCGGTGATTAACAAATCCTCTCTGCCCATCATAGTCTTTTAAGCAAGAAAAGACACATCCATAGAGTAATGATCAATGAATCAATGTCAGAATGAAGGAATGTATTGCAGAGGTCTACCTTGCTTCTTGTGTTGCCTGCTAATATTGATAATAAGATGGATGACAGAATAGAGAATACATGTTAAATTTGAACATTACATAAAAATAGAAGAGCGTGAGATGCTGAAGGCAAGGACTGGGATTCAAGTTCAGCTTGACAAACTTGGAAAATGGTCTGAAAGAAGGAAGTCATAGTGCTATCAAATAAAGGCCTGCAGGCATGCAGAACTGACTGTGAAAATACAGTCTGGAAGATAACTGGCTCTGTAGCAGCTTGCCTGAGTGGTTTTGAAACACAAATCAACAATGTGATACTATGGTGAAGAAAGACATTCATACTAGGCTGTGTAAATGAGAATATAACCCACATGTGAAAAGACATGTGAAATAATCCTGCTTTGCTTGGCATTAGTAAGATTAGAGCGGCAGTGCTGTTAGGCACTCATACTTTCAGAAATATACGATAGAAGCCAGAGGAGCAGTTTCCCTGAGTTTTGGGAACTAAAAACCTGCAAGGGAAAATTTAACAAATTTGTTTCCTTACCTAAAGAGAAGGATCCCTTCTAGTATTCTTGAAATAAATACGGCATATTGCAATGTGGAAAGGAATTTTTGGTACCATATCTGTGATGGATTGCACAAGAAGTAATGGGCTTAATGTCTGATCTGAATCTCACATGTCATAATTTAAGAAAAATTTATCTCAGCAATCAGAATAGTGAAGAAAGCAGAATTGCCTAGGGAGGTGTCCTTTGGTAGCCTTGATGAACATTGCTCAAAAATGACACAGGAATAATTGAATTCTGACTTGGATGTTAGGACTAACGGTGTGGCTTCTGGTAGTCTTTCTAGCCCTGTTTATTGATGATTCAGTGACTTATGTGGCAAAGCTATATTTGTGAGATTCAGGAGAAGATGATAAAAAAGAGAAACAGGGTTAGATTGGGAGTCAGCCTGGCTCGCAAGCAATAGATCATTTTAATATGGCTGTTAATAGGGCAGCATTGTTTGTAATGGACAGCAGTTATGTAGCAACAAATCCCTGCTGGGTGGGTCTCAGTTAGGGTATGGTACATCTAAGTCTTTTGAAGGACTTGCATTTTTCACTTGGAGAGTACTTGCTTCTGAGATACCTTTCTTCTCTGTAGTTTCAAGGGTAAAACTGAGGGAGCAGGAGCCAGATGCAATATTGTTGTATGTTCAGAAACAAAAATGTGCTGATACTTCTTCTTTTTTCTCTTCAGAACATCTGATTTAAGGAACTAATCATCATGTCTGACCCTGTTATTCTGCGCAGCATCAAGAGAGTGGGAGAGGATAACTATGCTTTTGACCCAGATGGCCGATGTAAGAAATTTTTTCTTCAGTCTATTTCTAATTCTACAAAGCATGTAAAATAGAGAGTGAGTGGCTTAAGTGGAGCTAATAGCTAAAAGCAAATAGTCTGGTTATGTGGTACCTGCTGCTGTTCTGTGAAGTTGTGGGTAAACTGTTTGCAAGACAACTTTTCTGTGAAACTTTGTATAACAATCCCTACTTCAGGACAATCCTTACTCAGCCTATGCATCCACAATATCTATTTAGGTTCTTTTACTCATCACTTTAGTGTACAATTAAAGGACCTTTACTAAGAAAACTGTGGCCATCCTTTTAAAATTAAGTACAGATTTGGCCTGAAAATTCTGTTTTCCATGGTTTCCGATTATGTCTTCAACAATAATTAACTAGACTGTGCATTTATTTCTTCTAACAGATAACGGCTTCAAGAAACCAGAGTAAGTCAGTATTTCTAGGAATACTCAATTATGTTAATGTCATCAGATTAAATTGACACATTTGTACTAAAAATGACATTTAATGCGAAGCTCTTCTCTGGGAGTTGAACTGTTATTTGATACAACTGACACAGGTAGGCTAAAAAAGTCTTAGTATGATGTGAAAGGTTACTCAAAACAGAGTAATGGCAGCAAAATGTGGATTTGCTCTTCCTAGATCTTGGGACAGCTCTGTAGCAGGCTGGACATGGGTACAGCAATTTTTGCCAGCTCTTTCTGACACAGTATACACAGCCACACTCAAAATCTACTATTCCTTCATAACTGAATATATACAGCTGATGATTACTGCTAATAATATGGATCCCATCCATAATGGCAGAGCAAGATCTTTAAATTTTTAATTGATTGTATAGAGTAGCAAAACTGAGAGGAAAGTCAAGAGATTCTACTGATACTATAGGTGTGTGAATATGCATGAAAAGTAAGAGGCAGTGGTAACCTTCCTTTCTTAAAAAAGGGCTCACTGCTAATCAATCCCTTGTCCCTATCTAAAACTTAACCATCAAATCACTTCTTCCAAAGAAGTCTGAAAGAAATAACTTGTCTCTTTAAAAGATCTGGATACAATGTCTGAAATAAAATGTGTTTTCAAAGAACAAACTAAGAAAATAAAAGGATTAATGTAAATTCACACAAATTCTCCTTTTTGCTAGGACTGCAAATGAAGAACCTTCTGTAAAGAAGAAAAGTGAAAAGTGAGTTACATTCAGTTCTGTGTAGTATCATTGCATGTAGGAGAAGCACATAATCAAATACAAGTTTATAATTGTACATTTTCTATTCTTGAAGGTCATCAAAAAAGAAGGATAACAGTGCTCGTGTTGGCTTCTTTCAGCTGGTAATAAAAGCTATGCATATAAATATTTTATATGTATTGTGCTCCAGAATAAGCGATTGTTCACTTACTGTTCACTATACAGCTGTTTTGGGGAATAGCTGTGACTAAGCCAAACTTCTAAGGATTAAATCACTTGGCATGATATCCTGCTGCTAAAATCAATAGGAATTTAATAGAACCCTTTGTCATTTTGTCAGCTGGGAATTGATTATCAATATTTGTGTCATAATTGTCTATTAAATGCATTATATTGAACCTGCTGGTGGATATAGGGAGAGTTAGAAACATAGTGGGGAGATTAGGCAACCCTGGTCCGTTTTTATTCCTGCTAAAAATTTGCTGTGTGATCTTTGGCAGATGATTTGGCTCCCTTATAATTGCTACATGGATGCTCTAAGATTTGGTAACTATTTGAAATAGCCAGTGCTGTGTGATATCTAATATCTAGCCTTAGATGATGAATCTGAAGGGTCTTGGAGACCCCTAGAGTATTTCTGTGCTTGAAAGGGAGTGCAGTTGTTAAGATGTCCAGCCCTGCAGCATGCAGCAAAGAGGTTTTATTGCTTCTGGTCTGGATGTAGCTTAAGCAATTAGCCTGAAATGTGTCCACACACATACATCCATACTGTAATGCTGAGCCAGTGAAGTTCCATCCATGAGGCTTGTACTCTAGCTGGTTAAGTATCACAGTTGTTAGTGACACTTATGTTTGTGTTAGGCTAGTTGGAGAGAATGAGGCCTGTCCACATTTACCACTTTGGATATGCCCAGAGTTATCAATACAGTTAACATACACAAAATAGAAAATGTATTGCTTTCTATCTTAGGGCTACTGGAACACAGCTCTTCCCTTACTGACTGTCTTGCATGGAACTAAGCAAGTACAGAGCTTTAAAGCTGTAGAAATTGGAAAAACTCTTTCATGATTGTGCTTGAGACGTGTCTGATGAGCAGAGACCTGTTTTGCCTAGGTATTTAACTCTGAAGATGCAATTAGTAAACAGAGTATGGTTGCATCAGATGCCACAGACATCACATATATCTGTGCATTTTCTAGGTGCTTTTGTTTTTCTACACGAATTGCTAGAGTTCTTTGAAGCAAGGTTTACAAAAGAGTGACAATGCACGTTTCTGACTTTTTTTTTTTTTTGTAGAAAGATCCATTCCTTATTGTGCTTTTATTCTGAGTTGTTTTTCCGTTTATCTAATCTCTGCAAGTTTTTTTTCCATTTTTCTTTGTCATAATGTCCCTTTTCCATATTACTTTACATTTCCACCCTTGGTTTCTTTGACACATTATAGTGCCTATAGAATCTGAATTAATTCTTCAGCTGGATGTGGTTCCTCTTTACTCTCCTTTTTTAAAATTCTTAGTATTTTACACTAATATTCTGCACGCGTAATTTACTCACTCTGTCTATTTATGCACAATGTCAGCCTGAGATTCAGACTTCGCACAGTTCTGAAACAGTTGACTGAATTTACCATACTTTGTCTGAATCATCTGCTACTGGCATATACATTCTTAGGCCATGACAAATTCAGAGTAAAGGGACATACGTGCATTATAACTTCATATTCTAAGTCTTTGAACCAGCATCTGAAGTAATGATAATGTGCAGTGATATTTGGCTATCAGTATTATATGATGATGTGTTCAATCATCTGGTCAGATTCCGTTCTTAGCTACATAAAAGGAGTTTATAATAACTTAGGAGACTGTAATCATAGGTATAATTAGATTGGAGAGCAGGGAGAGATTTGTCCGCTATCGGCAGTGAGGAGAGTTCTGAAGTTGAAGGAGAATAATTTTCTATCTGATTCACCTGGTTAATGAATCATAAGCACACAAACAGCATGAAGACTGCTTCTGAGCAGAGGTTTTCTTTCCATTTCTTTAGTTTCAATTTTCTTCATCTATGGAAATTTTAATGATGACTGTGGGTGGCTTCTGTGCTGTTCTTCATGGAGCAGCCCAGCCAGGCATGTTGCTTGTGTTTGGCGCAATGGCAGACACGTTTATTGAATATGATATCGAAATGCAAGAGCTTAAAGACCCGAACAAGACATGTGTAAATAATACCATAGTGTGGATCGATGGTACTACTCATCAAAATGAAAGAAATGCCACAATAAGATGCGGGTAAGTAGCAGATGTATTATTTTCTTTTGCTTTTGTTATTAAGGCTTGTCAGAGAATGTACAGTTAATGAAGGTCCAATTTTGCCTTTAAAGCTTACATTTTCTATCTGTAGAGCAGAAAAGGGGCATGGTTCTTGTTTTGGAGATCAGTCCCTGAGCTGAAGAATACTACCCAGAGGAGTAGAAGGCAAGGCTGGGTCTTAGCCTTTCACCAGCAAGTGATGACTGATTTTTTAAAAGACAT